TATTTAGTGATATGGTCACGGAAGGAGGAGAATCAAGATAACACGTAGGCTCAGGTTTGCTTGGTCCTACTGTTTCAACCATTTCATCATTTTAACACCTTGTGGCATTTTTTCCTTGCAGCCCAGAAACAGACTTTTAGCTTAATCGACAGTCCAACTTTCTGGTTCTATTAGTTCTTCCTTTCTTTGCAGTGGTGTTTCACCTGCAATAACACACAAACTCTATTGCTCCTCCCTATCTCTTACCACAGGTGGGGAAAAAAAAAAAAGGTAAAGAGCAAGTGATAAGCTTTTCTTTCTTAGCACTGAACTGTGAATTTTCAGTGGCAGGAAAGAGGGGTGGCAGTGCATCAGAACTGGGAGGCTACAGCAGCTAAATGCCTGGCATCCCTGTAGTAATGTTTATTTACTGGCCACAGTCTTTTCTCACAGTTATCTAGGGTGTAAGCCACCCTCTGTCATGTGAAACGAGGACTTCTTTCTAGTTATCCATGTGATCCGAGTGATTCCTAATTACACTTTTCCATTTGTTGCTTTTCTTCCCTAAAACCTTGTTCAGGAATAATCATTAACTATATGTGCTTCCTGTGCAGCTGCTCTTGGTTGTAAGGGCAATCTGTGTATTTAATGCTGTTCAGAGAAATTTCATTGCCTTTCCAGATTTTTCTTCTTCAAGGAACAGAACCAAACCCCTTAAATCTAGCATGAATGTATTGGTCTTCTTGAATTAAAGTAAAAAGAGAAAGGGTAGGGGTTATTCTTAAAACATCATGTAGAATGATTTGTAAAACACTTCTTACTAAAATTTCCATAATAAGAATGATAATGTTATCCCAGTAGATGACTGAGCACTGAAACAAAAGGATTAACCAGTGAGGAATCAGAGAGGGTTGTTTTTTTGCCATCAGATTTTAAACATTTTTAAAAGCCACGTGGTCAATTTACATTTTATACATCCTTTAAAGAATGGCACATTAAGATAAATGAACACATTGTGATGCCTTCCAGTGTTACAAGAGTGACAAACAAATTTGGAGATCCATGTAGGCTTTAAAGAACAGTACATTTGTTTAAATAAACTCACAGAAAACTAACATAAACAACCACAAAACAGATTTTTTTTTAAGCAAGTAAAATGAATAAACTGTAAAAATACTGCATCTCCCATAAACATACTCTGTGGTTCCACCACCTTGTGGCCAACAAAAAAAGCTGCAGTTTTGCTTCCTACGGTGCACGTTGAGCAAGGGAAGGTCAGAATGGAGGTGGGCAGCGGGCACCAGCAGGGAGGAGTCACCACCCTGCAGTGTTTCGCCCTTTGCTGATACACTGAAAAATAGCAGCATTAAAATACAGCCTGAAAGAGCTCAGCTACTACCTGACCGTGTAACACTGTGCAGGAAGCGAGAACACCAGCAGCACTGTAATGGGTGTGTTTCAGTTTGGTTTCAGACGCTCCCCTCCCGTACAAAGCGCACACAGACACAAAGCTGAGACTGATCTCCTAACTGTTGTTCCTTGTCCATCTCGGAAAACTTTTCCCATAGTTTGCTTTACTTCACTTTTAAAAATTTTACTTAAAAGCCTATTCAGTGTTTAAAAAAAATCCATGAAAATTTTAAAATAGTTTCTAACTGCCAGGAAACCGATGCTCGCTTGTCTCCTTAAAGGGGAGATGCACAGACTATCCGAATCACCTGAATTTTGAAAGTTTTAACCTTTAACTGAAAGCTCCATTTTCAGAAAGGTGTCTCCAATTCACTAGAAACTGAAAAAGCCTCAACTCCCAGTGCACATGTAAAGGGTCATTTTTTGCTAGTTTGCTCTGATGTTATTTATATTGTACCTTTTCATATAGAAAATGGAAGAGTTGGGTTTTCTGACACAACTCGCAAAGGAACATATGAGTAGAAATGAGAAGGCCTTCTCTAAAGCCAAGTTTTGCAATTCCCTTTTTCTTTAAGTACAATAAGGCTTATTAAAAAAAAATAACAAAGTAAAAAAACAACAAACATAAACCCCAACCAACATCCCTGGGAAAAGAACATAAAAACCTTTTGGAAATACTCAGTTTCTGAAAACACAGACTATTTGAAAAAAACATAATTGCAAAATTAAAGGAAATTCAAGAAATCCATTCTCATATTTCAAATCAGTCCATGATTTCATCATCAGCAATAAGATGCGCTATCTTTTCCAGCCCAAAATTACCAGCTTTGGGGAAAACATATTCATACTTAACAGAAATAATTAACGGGTTAAGTTAAATTAACTTTTTTTCCCTGATCCACATGCCTGCATGTTAGATAATGTTACATTAGAACTGAGCATTGTAATGAGAGACTAAAAGCAACAACCTGTAACAGTAACCAAAGCAAAAGCAATTTTCTCGTGGTTACATACTATAGATCAGTAATTTAACATTAAAATTAACTTCCTATATAAATAAAAATTAAAAAGTTGGGCAAAAGTAAATTGGCACAGTCGTTATGATATTGCTTTCCAGTTTCAACACTGCAAAGAGCAGCCACGGATTCCAAACACCAAAGGAAAAGGCCGTCGCCCCACCACCTGGTGTCACCACCTGGTGTCACTTGGTTGGTTTTTTGTCAGCAGCGCCACTGCCTCAGCTCTGTGGAACAGCTGGGAATGGGCAGGTGTGCAGCTCGCAGTCAAAGCATTGCTATAGAGCCACTATGCAAAAATGAGAACAAATACATCGAAACAAAACCACAGAGTGTGGTTTACTGCTCTGTGTGACTTTTCTAAGTCAATGTTTTTCAGGACTGTGACTAATTTTTACCTTCAAAAAGGCAAAAAAATAAAATAAAGTTAAAAAAAAAAAAAATCACAATCTGAAGCCTTCCAGTCTCCTTGCCTTCATTCCCTCCCTCCCCCCAAAAAGCACCTCCTACTATAAACACGTTCTGGTTTACGGGTTCAGAAGTTGGAATGTAGTGGAAATACATACAAGAGAGAAGGAATTTCTAGTTGTACATTACATTACAAAGAGGTTTGCTCCCAGACCTAAGGAGGGAGGGATACTAAGCAATATTAAATTCCTATAAGAATCCTTACAAAGCATGCAAAATATTGATATACTCACAAAATTGAAATTTATATTGGTTCCTTTTTGAATTTGCAACTTCACAGTACAATAATTTCTAATATTATGCAGCAGTCAGAATGACAGTGACTACAAAATAATTTCCCTTTAATTTTTTTCTTTCCAGTTGTTTGAAAGAATCCTTTGTGTGGGTTTTTTTTTCTTGTTTTCTTTGTTTTGTTTTTTACCTGATAGGTTGTAGATCACCCATCAGAAAATGTGAAATTCAACATAACAGGGGTTGCTTTCCTTGTCATATTTCCTCTCTAATGATGTTGACAATCTGACTCTACCAATCTTTTAAGATCTGTCCCTCCCTCCCCTTCCCATGCTGACTCCTTCCCTTGGCTTCAAGCTGTACTTTTCTTCTCGCCAGGATGATGATGGACGGACGCCACTAAATGGATGCTGCATACCTGGGTAGGAAGTAAAGGGGCTGGAGTAGTCTATGAAAATGGAATCGCTCCCACCCCACAAGATGTTTGGCACAACTGCTCCGTAGCCAGAACACTTTGCTCTGGATACCAGCAGTCAGATGACGCTTTCAGTTCCCTCACAAATGCTGCTGCCCTTTACACCTACATAACCCCTGTGGCTGCAGCAGATTTAGGCAGGGAAGCACGAGGCTGGTGCTTGGCTGGACCTTCTGTACTGCTGTAGGTAGTTCCACAGAAAATGTCCTCACTGCTCTTATTTCAAACAGGGCTGGAATCTCTGGAGATTACACAATGCGTGCTACTTGCTAGATTGTCCATAAAGTACATTCTGACACATTTTATCAAAGTATTTGCATCTATCAGAAAAAGACTCTTGTAGAAGTAATGTACAAAGCCTTCAAAAATCCAAGTATTTAAAAAAAAAATGTTCTGATAAAAGTTTGGAGTATCAACACAAACTGATAGCCATTGATTTTTTTTTCTCTTGTCCACAAATGCTTCGATTATTTTTGCAGTGATAACATCTTTTCTTTGAAGTGTTGGGAATTAAGTCTTCCCAATTAATTTTCATTAAGTTTGATGGGGTCTAAGGAATTTAGCAATCCTGCCTGGATAACGTTGCCCCTGCTTTTATATGCAAACAAACAACAGAATCACTGACTCCAATCCTCCCTGCCTCTCTAATTTGCTATATTTATTTAGAGTGTAATATCATTGGGTCTGGCTCCCTTAATCCAAAAAACCCTTCAGAAGTGCCACACAGGCAAGAGCAGGGCATCTCCTTCCCTAGAGATGCATAAACATTTGCAAGGGAAGGGGTGGGTGAGACAGAAACAAAAAGAACAAAACCCAAACAAACCAACAGTTCTAGTTGTAGGCAAAACTGTTTCATTTCTTTAGATCCCTGTTCAAATCAAGACTTGAATTTCTGAGGAGGGACTCTTCGATCCCAGGCCCTTCCCTTCTCTCCTCTCACAAAGTGTGGCCTAGAACAGTACTTTAAAAACAGCAGTTATTAAAGACACAGTTGTGATTTATCCTTTAACTCCCCCTCACCCAAAAAGGGGTATCCTATCAAGTGGTCCAGTAGAAATCTTGGAGTTTCTTTAAGATAAATTAAATCCATAAAAATGAGGAATACCTTCTGTCACATTCCCAACAAGAATAATAGCCACACTCTGTGGTGCATTTGTTCGAGTGTCTATTGCTCCTTCTAGTGGAGATTCTGCACAGCTCCATCTCCAGTTCAGTTCTGGTCCTACCAGTCAAGGAGAGAGATTTTTCTCCTTCCTCTTCAGCTTGTCTCTGGTTAACAAACAGCAGAAGCACTGAGGGCCACAATTCCCCAGGACAGGAACAGACCAGTAATGTCTGCAGAAACACCAGTCGTCTTTTTCTCAGGTGCGGCAGATCTATGCCAAGAGCAGTTCTGTGTGTCCTGTTGGCATCACAGGCACCTACACCTCTGTGGAGAAGAGAATGCTTTGCCTCTTGCTGTCCGGGGTAGGGATAGTCTCCAGCTGCAGGAAGTACAGAAGAACTTGAACCTGGAAAGAGAAAGGAAGAGATAATAATAAAGCTCTGTTACCTCATTGTCATCCTGGCTATTTGAGAGTTGGCAGACATGCCACAGGAACATCTTCCAGTTTTGTATTTGTTCTAATACAGTGTATAATAGCAGGAATATTAAAACTTGCAGTGCTTCATTCTTTTCAGCTTCTAGGGTATAAAAATGGTGTTGGCGTTCCACTGCACTGAAAAAATCTGATCTATAATTTGCCATTAATCAATCAAGAAAGTACAAACTAGCCTGAACAGCTAACAGCCTCCGTGCTTGAATTCTCTGCATCGCCTTCAAGAAGCAACAGCAGCCAAAGAAATCTGAATTTAGCAAAGAACTTTGCATCTGTGAAAGTGATTTAAGTGTTGAGGAGCATTGTGGAAAACCAGCATCGGTCCTTTTATCCCAGGCTAGCAATAGGGAGCTGTGAGACAGCCCTCAAAAAATATCTTACTATGCACAAACACAAAACATACGGGATCATGTGCACACAGAGATTTTTTCCTTAAAAGCTGTGTCGCTACAGATGCAAACTGAACTGCCTGAAGAAAGAGTTCTACAAACAAACAGGCTCAAATGTCTGTGGAAGGGTACAAGTTGTTCATGTTTCTCAAAAGCAAACTCTCATGAGAGCACGGAAGGATGGCTGAACCAGGCCTTGCTGGAGCACTGCTGTTTCCCACATACTGTGATCACAAGATTCAGCAGCAGGTTTCGGATTTTACCTGGGACATGACTTCTAGTGACCAACTATCAGTCATTGTGATGGGCTGGGTTGGGTTAGCGGGGATTTTACTGTCCTTCTCGGAAGGTCTGAGCAGCGTTGGTCCAAAGACAGTTGCAAGATTATGCAAGGACATCTTGTTAACGCTTTCCCTCTCAGCAACCCTGGGAGAAGAAACAATGAACAAGGCAGATCTTCATAAATATCTGAGTTTGGAAGTGTCCTCAATTAAGAAACCATATTTATTCATTTTGTAAGAAGTTTTAGATACATTCCATCAACCACTCTCCATATGTGCCTAAATGAACTTTATATATAAGCAATATTTGATCTTACACAACCACTGTCTCCAGGCACTCTACAGACAGGGCTAAACTTGGGAAAGGGACTGCTGCTTCCTGTCTGCACAGGCAGGGGTGGGACAGGAATAAAGGAATGTTGTTCATCCCAGTTTCATAAATGAGAAACTGAGGCACAAAGGTTAATAAAGTTACCCAAGGGCAGAAAAATCTACAGCAAAAACACAAGAAAAACCCAGATTTCCTGGATTTTAATCCAGAACCTCAGTCACACGATTATCCAGTGAAGTCTCCGATATGTACAAAATACGTATGTAAATTAACACATTGCGCATGCATTAAGCAAGTTTATTGCATTAATATCAAACACATGGAAATACTTTGCCAGAGCGAGAACCACATTACAAAGACAAGGTGAGGAAGACTAGTCTACACAAGGAATTGACAACTCCAGTTAGCAGAAGCACGAAGCTGGGATTTTTAAAGATCTATCATGTTAGATTGTAGATACCTTTTGAGACAGGGCTCACAAGTCCTTAAACAGGGACCAAGCTTCACGATTTGTACTAAAACCTTTCCCAATCCAGATGCAGGTGCAGTTTTACAGAGATACTGCAGCAGG